GCCCCAGGACTGCCCAAGAAGCCCCCCAAGACGGCTCATGAGGGGCCCCAGAGCGGTCCCAGAGCGGCCCCAGAGGGCCCCAAGAGGGGGAACACGAACCCACAATTCCAGCTTTTCGCTTCACCAGGCCCCCAGGAGGGCCAAAGAGGCCTCGACGAGACGCCTCGACGTTCCCAAGAGGCCCCCCAAGAGGCCCCCAAGAGGCCCCCCAAGAGGCCCCCAAGAGGCCCGAAAGAGGCCCCCAGAAGCCCGAAAACAGCCTCCAAGAGGCTTCACGGCCGCCCTCGACGCGGTTCCCGAGAGGCCCCAAGAGGCACGAGGCTTCTGACACACAGCCCAAGCAACGTGGCGGGATGGTCCGAAGGCCAACATCTGTATGTATGTCTGTCTGTCTGTCTGTCTGTCTGTCTGTCTGTCTGTCTGTCTGTCTGTCTGTCTGTCTGTCTGTCTGTCTGTGTGTGTATGTATGTATGTATGTGTGTATGTATGTATGTATGTATGTATGTATGGATGCATGCATGCATGCATGCATGCATGCATGCATGCATGCATGCATGCATGCATGCATGCATACAAATATATAAACAAATAGGCCGGGCCCCCTCCCGGGGCGTCCTCCACTTCGCTCACATCTGGATTACGCTCCCTGTACCGCGCTTCCCGACCTCCCAGGGAGCCCCCAAAACGCCCAAGGACAGCCCAAGACGACCCCAAGAAGCCCCCAGGACGGCAAAGAAAGGCCCAAGGCGCTCCCCAGCAACCCAGGATCGCTTTCGGGCGGCTCCTCAGGCTCCCAGGAGGCCTCCAAGAGACCTCAAGAGAGCTCCGAGAGGCCTCCCGAGAGCGCCCGGACCACCTAAAATCGTTAGTGTTCATTGTTTTTTCTCCGGGTTTTTGGCCTTCTCACCATGTTCATGCTTCCAACGCTCCAAGACGGCCGAAGAGGCCCCCAAGACCGCCCATGAGGCCCCCAAGACGTCCCCACGACGGGCCAAAACGGGCCAAGAAGGCCCCAAGACTGCCGAAGAGGCGCCCCCGACAGCTCCAGACCACCCCAGAACAGGCCCAAGATGAGCCCAAGAGCGGGAGCAGGAGGCCGCCAGAGACCTCCGAGAGGACTTCGGGACCCCCCAGAGGCCTCCAACACACCCCAGACCCTTGGCCCCCAAAAGAGCGCCGACGAGGCCCCCAAAACAACCCAAGAGAGCTTCGAGAGCCGTCCCGACAGAGCCCGAGGAAGGTAACATCGTTGCTTTCAAATGATTTTTGTCGACTTCTTCCGCCTTCTCATGTTTTCCAGCGTCCAACGCTCCAAGACCAAGGAATTTGAAAAAAAGAAGGAGGAATTTCAGATATTCCCTTCTTTCCGAATTCAATAGATGCGCGCCCCCTCCTCCCGGGGTTCCCACTCCTTCCCGGAACATCTTCGGAACGCTCCCCGTACCGCGCTTCCCGACCTCTCGGGGAGCCCTCCAAACGCCCAAGGACAGCCCAAGACGACCCCAAGAAGCCCCCAGGACGGCAAAGAAAGGCCCAAGACGCTCCCCAGCAACCCAGGATAGCTTTCGGGCGGCTCCTCAGGCTCCCAGGAGGCCTCCAAGAGACCTCAAGAGAGCTCCGAGAGGCCTCCCGAGAGCGCCCAGACAACCTAAAATCGTTAGAGTTCATTGTTTTTTCTCCGGATTTTTTGGCCTTCTCACCATGTTCATGTTTCCAACGCTCCAAGACGGCCGAAGAGGCCCCCAAGACCGCCCATGAGGCCCCCAAGACGTCCCCACGACGGGCCAAAACGGGCCAAGAAGGCCCCAAGACTGCCGAAGAGGCGCCCCGGACAGCTCCAGACCACCCCAGAACAGGCCCAAGATGAGCCCAAGAGCGGGAGCAGGAGGCAGCCAGAGACCTCCGAGAGGACTTCGGGACCCCCCAGAGGCCTCCAACACACCCCAGACCCTTGGCCCCCAAAAGAGCGCCGACGAGGCCCCCAAAACAACCCAAGAGAGCTTCGAGAGCCGTCCCGAGAGAGCCCGAGGAAGGTAACATCGTTGCTTTCAAATGATTTTTGTCGACTTCTTCCGCCTTCTCATGTTTTCCAGCGTCCAACGCTCCAAGACCGAGGAACTTGAAAACAATTAGGAATTTCAGATATTCCCTTCTTTCCGAATTCAATAGATGCGCGCCCCCTCCTCCCGGGGGTCCCACTCCTTCCCGGAACATCTTCGGAACGCTCCCCGTACCGCGCTTCCCGACCTCCCGGGGAGCCCTCCAAACGCCCAAGGACAGCCCAAGACGACCCCAAGAAGCCCCCAGGACGGCAAAGAAAGGCCCAAGACGCTCCCCAGCAACCCGGGATAGCTTTCGGGCGGCTCCTCAGGCTCCCAGGAGGCCTCCAAGAGACCTCAAGAGAGCTCCGAGAGGCCTCCCGAGAGCGCCCGGACCACCTAAAATCGTTAGTGTTCATTGTTTTTTCTCTGGGTTTTTGGCCTTCTCACCATGTTCATGCTTCCAACGCTCCAAGATGGCCGAAGAGGCCCCCAAGACCGCCCATGAGGCCCCCAAGACGTCCCCACGACGGGCCAAAACGGGCCAAGAAGGCCCCAAGACTGCCGAAGAGGCGCCCCGGACAGCTCCAGACCACCCCAGAACAGGCCCAAGATGAGCCCAAGAGCGGGAGCAGGAGGCCGCCAGAGACCTCCGAGAGGACTTCGGGACCCCCAGAGGCCTCCAACACACCCCAGACCGTTGGCCCCCAAAAGAGCGCCGACGAGGCCCCCAAAACAACCCAAGAGAGCTTCGAGAGCCGTCCCGAGAGAGCCCGAGGAAGGTAATCGTTGCTTTCCAATGATTTTTGTCGACTTCTTCCGCCTTCTCATGTTTTCCAGCGTCCAACGCTCCAAGACCGAGGAATTTGAAAAACAAGGGAATTCCAGAGATTCCTTCTTTGTTCAAGTTGGGACTCCTACTCCCTATCCTCTATCTCGAGCCCCATCAAGATTTCGGGGTTACATGCAAAAATGTTTCGGGAATGGTGTTGAACTCTCTCACGCTGTCTTGGCACTCTCTTGGATCGTCTTCGTGTGCTCTTGGCTGCCCCTGAAACCATTGTAGAAATCGAGATCCCATGATCCCATGAATTGAAGCAGTGGAATTTAGAATTTCTGTTTGTCACACTGATCCCCTGCTTATTTTTGTCCGAAGACCCCGAGGGGCATCCCAACAGACCTTGGCCCTGCATGCAGAAAGCGTCTAACCCACAGCCCCGGCATTACAACTTGAAAAAGAGGGAAATCCCACCATTCCGTTTTTTTCCAAGTTCACCCCTTGTCTACGCTTGCACAACAGACCACAAGATTCAGGCCCCAGAAAAGAGCCCAGGAAGCCTTTGAGGGCACCAAATCGTTGAATACGAAACGGCAATTAATGATTTGTGCGTTTCTTCAGTTCCCTGTCTATACGATTTCGAGGCTTGCGCAGGGCCTCCAAGAGAGTCCTTGGATGCAAGGAACGGCAAGGATGATATTCCATGTGTTCGCCCATCAAGCCTAGCTAGAACTTGAGCGCGCGCGAAGCGCGCATGATGGTTCTAGTCTCTCTCTCTCTCTCTCTATATATATATAGATGTGTGTGTGTGTGTCTGTGTGTGACTGCCCCATTGATGGGGCACTATCGCACCTGAGTGACGGAAAACATCCTTGGATGGTGCATCTTCCGATCCCATCTTTCAACTCTCAACTACTTGCTGTAGATAAGCATTGGGATACCATCCTACGCCTTCGGCCTAACTTATGGTACGGCTTGCCACGCCTGTTCCGACTCCTTTGGGTGGCCTCTCGGGGGCCCTATCGGGAGCTTTTTGGGAGCCCTTTGGGTGGCTCTTTGGGACAGTTTGGGAGTTTTGGGGGCTATCTTGGGCCATCTTTGGTGGGAAAGGCTCTCAGGGCCCCTTCGCTATCCCCCTCTTGGGGCCTTACTGCATCCGTCTAGTGGGCCTTTCGGGCCGTTTTGGAGGCCTCTTGGTCTGTCTTGGGGCTCTTTTGGGTTATCTTGAAGTTTCCCTGGCGGTCTATTGGGCTTTCTTGGGGCGATCTTAGAGGCCTCTCGGGCTCTTCTCTCTTTCCTCTCTCCCTCTCTTCCTCCCTCCCTCCCTTCTTTTCCTCCCCCTTCCTACTTCTCCTGTGTCCTCCTCCTCCTCCTCCTCTTCCCCCTCCATTCCCCTCTGTTCTCACTCTTCCCTCCTCTTCCTCCAGTCTCCCTGCTCGCTCCACTCGTCCCTCCTTCCTTGATATTCCCTGCCGCTCCTGCTTTGCTGTGAGAAGGAGGGGAAGAGGAGGAGGAGGAGGAGGAGGAGGAGGAGGAGGAGGAGGAAGAGAGGAGGAGGAGGAGGAGGAGGAGGAGGAGGAGGAGGAGGAGGAGGAGGAGGGAGAGGAGGAGGAGGAGGAGGAGGAGGAGGAGGAGGGGAGGAGGAGGAGGAGGAGGAGGAGGAGGAGGAGGAGGAGGAGAGGAGGAGGAGGAGGAGGAGGAGGAGGAGGAGGAGGAGGAGGAGGAGGAGGAGGAGGAGGAGGAGGAGGAGGAGGAGGGGGAGGGAGGAGGAGGAGGAGGAGGAGAGGAGGGAGAGGAGGAGGAGGAGGAGGAGGAGGAGGAGGAGGAGGAGGAGGAGGAGGAGGAGGAGGAGGAGGAGGAGGAGGAGGAGGAGGAGGAGGAGGAGGAGGAGGAGGAGGAGGGAGGAGGAGGAGGAGGGAGGAGGAGAGGAGGAGGAGGGAGGAGGAGGAGGAGGAGGAGGGGGAGGAGGAGGAGGAGGAGGAAGAGGAGCGGGGAAGGAGGAGGAGGAGGAGGGGGAGGAGGAAAAGGAGGGAGGATGATGAGGACAAAGGACGAGGAGGAGGAGGAGGAGGAGGTAGAGGGAGGAGGAGGGAGGAGGAGGACGAGGACAAAGGAGGACGAGGAGGGAGGAGGGGCAGGAGGGGGAGGAGGAGGAGGACGAGGAGGAGCCGGGGCATGCGCAGGTGCCGGCGCCCACGGAGGCGGGCGACGAGGAGGATGACCGGATGCGGCTCCTGGAACCCGCGTCGCCCGTGGATGGTCCAGAGCCATTGGAAGAGCGCGCCCCGACGACACCAGCCGAGTCCTACGAGGACCTGCTGGACCTCGGGGGTGGGGCAGCGGCGAGGCCGGCATCGAGCCCCACGGAGACGGGGGGCAAGCAACCAGCAGCACGTGCACGTGCTTTGCGAGCGTCCGCGTGCAGTCCTCGGGGCCAGGGGTATGGCCACTGCTGTATGGTATGTTCGTTCATCACTTAGAAGCAACTGGCGGCGCAAGCACAGTGTGTGTATGAATAGAAAAGTAAACAACAGCATAAGCAAACACTTGCAGACATACGTACATACAAACACACATACACATACATACATATATAACTACCCAGAACATGATAAATGATTGAATGAACAAGAACATACATACATTAACCAATCAACTAATAAGCACACACGAAAGCATACATGCACACATACATATATCAATGTATACATGTATGAAGCAGCTTTAAAGGCAAAGCAATAAACACGAAAGTCGATTTATACATACATGCATGCATCCATACATACCCCCATCCACAACTATGTGTATATATATATATAGGTTGATGCATGCGTATATGTATATGTATATGCATATGTGAATGTACATGTGTATGTATTTGTACATGTACATGTTTGTGTATATGTATGTGTACACGTACATATATATAGGTATATGTATGTGCATGTGTATTTGTATACGTAAATGTAAGTGCATCTTATGGTTAGATGTGTGTAGGTATGTGTGTTTGTGTATGTAATATATATATATATATGTATGTATATATGCATAGTGCATGTGCATGCATCTACGCATATATATATATATATAGATATGTGTACATGCATGTGTGTATTGATAGGAATGTGTGCATGTGTGTACGTACGTGTGTATGTACGTATGTATGTTTGTATGTATGTATGCCAGTATGTATGTATATGTACACAAATGTTTGCATGTCTGTCTGTCTGTCTGCTTGTCTGTCTGTCTGTCTGTACGTACGTACGTATGTATGTATGTGTGCATGCATGTATGTGTGTGTGTGTGTGTATGTATGTCTGTATGTATGCATGCATGTATGTATGTGTATGTGTATGTGTATGTGTATGTATATGTGTATGTGTATGTGTATGTGTATGTGTATGTGTATGTGTATGTGTATGTGTATGTGTATGTGTATGTGTATGTGTATGTGTATGTGTACGTGTACGTGTACGTGTACGTGTACGTGTACGTGTACGTGTACGTGTACGTGTACGTGTACGTGTATGTATGTATGTATGTATGTATGTATGTATGTATGTGTTTATCTATATGTATATTTAATCGCTTCGCTCATTCCGCCGGCCCTGGAGCCCTTTTTAGAGCCTCTTGGCGACCTCTTGGGAGTCTCCAGGGGTTCCTTGGCGGCGTCTTGGGGGCCCCCAGGGCTTCTTGGGGGGCTTTTGGAGGCCTCTTGGGGCGGGAGGGGGGGTAGTCGATTGCGGCTCCCCCCTCGGAGGCCACGATCCTCGGAAAAATGGCCCTCCCCTGGAGTTCTCTGGTGGCTTCTCCCAGGACCTTGCCGGGGTACTTTTCGTCTGGGGGCCCCCAGGGGCCGCTCCGCGCGTGCGAAGTAGAAATATTGTTAACCAGTTACCGGAGATCTTAGCACGCCTCTGTGTATGTCTCTCTGTCTGTCTGTCTGTCTGTCTGTATGCATGTATGTATGCATGCATGAATGCATGTATGTATGTATGTATGTATGTATGTATGTATGTATGTATGTATGTATGTATGTATGTATGTATGTATGTGTATCTATATGTACACTTACATCATATATACATATATATACACACATGTATCGGAGTACAGGGTCGGGGGCCTTCGCCCAGTTGCCCTGTGTCGCTGCTCGGGGCTCCCCGGGGACCCTCTCCGGTGTCCCGAGAGCCGCCGAGACGGCCTTAAGTGGCGTCAAAGAGACACCAGAAGGCTTCAAGAAATCCCGCGTGGCTTCCGGACGGCCCCACATAACTTCAAGAGATGGCCCAAGAGGACTCGACGAGCGCTCCCCAAACGGTCCCAAGAGGCAACATCAACATGTCTTCTGCAGGTTTTTTCCAGTGTTTGGGCGGTTCTAGACTTTTCGAGCTTCCGACGCTCCACGACGTCCCACGGAGCTCCCAAGACCGGCCCAGGACGGCCCAAGAGGGCCCCGAGACGGCCCAAGAGGGCCCCAAGACGGCCCGAGAGGCGCCCAAGTCGGCCCAAGGGGGTCCAAGAGGTCCACAGGAGGAGTCCGAGAGCCGGAGCCCGAAACGACAATTCGAGCTTTCCGTCCCAAGACGCCCCCAGACGGCCCAAGAGGACTCGACCACAGAGGGCCCCAGGAGGCAAAAACCATACTGGTTTTCTATTGTTATTTCCATGTTTGAGGGGTTCTAGACTTTTCGAGCTTCGAGCTTCCAACGCTCCACGACGTCCCATGAGGCTCCCAAGACCGGCTCAAGAGCCCCCCAAGAGGGCCCCAAGACGGCTCAAGAGGGCCCCAAGACAGCTCAAGAGGCCCCCAAGACGGTCCAAGAGGGCCCCAAGAGGGTCCCACGAGGGTCCCAAGAGGGGTCCGAGAGCAGGATCCCGACGCAACAATTCGAGCCTTCCGTCTCCAAGACGGCCCAAGAGGACTCGACGAGCGCTCCCCAGAGTGCTCATCACATCTGATATGTAGGAGGAGGAGGAGGAGGAGCAGGAGGAGGAGGAGGAGGACCAATGTAAGCCGAAGACCCATAATCGATGTTGCCATGAACCTTCCGTCCAAGATCCTTCTTCATGGGCCCCTACAAGGATTCTCTTTCACTAGCGGAAGCGCCCCGTTGGAACACAGCCGCTTGAAAATCCGGAACCGCGCCAGAACACAAGTCTTGGGACTGCGTCCTGACGACCCTAAACCGTGCCAGAACATGTTTCCTCGGACTTCAACACCGCGAATCAACATAATTAGTTGTGGCGCCCTGACAGTCCTACACCGGGCCAAAACACCCAAACCACCATGTCTGCGACGTCAGCCATAGGAATCCTTGAAATTGCTGTAAGCCGTTAAGACGAGCGTGTGCGGCGCTCAGGCGCGGGTCACATTTTGGAATGGTACCGCCCCCCAGCTGTGAAGCTCTTGCACACGTTTACGACGAATGTGCACGGCGCTATGGCGAGAACAACATTTTGAAAACGATCCGCCTTCCATCCGTGGAATGCTTTAAGGCGAGTGTGCGCGGCGCTCAGGCGAGAGCCACATTTTGAAAGCCACCCGCCCTCCATCCGTGAAGGTGTTGCCAACTTTCAGATCCAGGATCATACAGTGTGAAGAAATATCAGGCGACAGGCCCGGCCCGCCGTGCCGACACGTCTCGGGGCGCGCCATGACTGAGTTATTATATGAGGACTGGGCATGAAGGATGAGGAGGAGGAGGCGGAGGAGGAGAAGAAGGACCTTCGCGCCCTCCCAGGCCGTCGTGGAGAGCTCTCTTGGGGGCCTTTTCGGGGTCGCAGGAAAACCTCAAGAGGACCCAAGATTCAATACAGATTTCACATCAACCGCGTCCTCGTCAGAGATGGCGTTGTGCTAAATTTGTGCTGAATGGTTTGATCTCTTGGGCCGCTCTTGAAGCTCCATTGGCGCCCCTTCGAGCACTCCCAGGTCGTCGTGGAGAGCTCTCTTGGGGGTCTTTGCAGTGTCTCAGGCGAGTCTCAAGAGGGTCTGATATTTATCACAAGCTGAACACAAACTGCAGCCGCGTCAGGGACGGCGTAGTGTCAAATGTGTGTTGAATGGTTGGGTATCTTCGTTCGTCTCTTGGAGCTCCCTTGGCGCCCCTTCGAGCACACCCAGGCCGTCCCAGAGGGCTCTCTTCGGGGCCTTTGTAGGTCTCAGGAGAGCCCCAGAGAAGTCCACATGTATCATAAATCTGGCACAAGCTACACCCTCGTCAGGGACAGAGTTGCGTTGAACTTGTGTTAAAGTTTTGGGTATCTTGGGCCGCTCTTGGAGCTCCCTTGGCACCCCTTGGAGCCCTCCCGGGCCGTCCTGTAGAGCTCTCTTGGGGGCCTTTGGGGGTCTCAGGAGAATTCCAGGAGGCCCCCTCATTTTTACCATATTTTGCATTTTTACCACATTTTGCACAAGCCGCATCCTCGTCCGGGACGGCGTTGTGGTAATTTTGAGTCAATGTGTTTAGTGTTTTGGGGCGCGCTTGGAGATCTCGTGGCGCTCATTAGAGCCATCCCAGGCCGTCGTGGAGCTCTCTCAAGAAGGCCTTTTCGCTGAGGAGAGCACCCGGAGAATCCAAGATTTAACATTCATTTGGTACAAACCGCATCCTCGTCTCCAAGGACGGCGTCGTGTTACATTTGTGTTGAATTATCAGGTCTTTTGGGCCGTTGTTGGAGCTCTCTTGGCGTCCCTTCGAGCCTCCCCGGGCCGTCTTGTAGAGCTCTCTCGGGGACCTTCGGGGATCTCAGGAGAGGCCCAGGAGGGCCCCAATTCTTCTTACAAATCTGACACAAAGCGCAGGCTCGTCAGGGAAATCTTTGTGTCAAATGAGTGTGCGTGTGTGTGTGTGTGTGTGTGTGTGTGTGTGTGTGCGTGTGTGCGTGTGTGTGTGTGTGTGTTAAATGGTTGGGTCTCGTGGGGCGCTTTTGGAGCTCCCTTCGCGCCCCTTCGGGCCCTCCCAGGCCGTCCTGAAGAGCTCTCTCGGGGTCCTCTTGGGGTTCAAGGAGAGCCCCAGGAGAGCCCCAAGTTCACCACACACTTAACACAATTGAAGCCTCGTCAGGGACGGCGTTGTGCCAAATTTCCCCAATCAGAGCTTGCCTCTGTAGGGGTCCTAGCGGATTCATATGTTCCCCAATCAGAGCTTGCCTCTGTAGGGGTCCTAGCGGATTCATTCCCCAATTAGAGCTTGCCTCTGTAGGGGTCCTAGCGGATTCATATGGTCAGATTAGCCGTGGCGCCGATTTCGGCGACACGCCCGAGTGTCCGGGTGCCCGGGTGCCCGGTAGCTCTATAACCCAATAGCCTTATAGCCTTATAGTCTTAGAGCCCTTAGCTCTATAGCCCTGTAGCCCTATA